CGGTGGGGGAGCGGCGCCGGCCCCGGGTGCCCACCCCTCCACCCACTCCGCGTTGCAGACGCTCCGTCGATGCCCGCGGCCCGCGACTCCGACGTGGACCCCTCCTGGTCGCTCAGATTCAGCTCGTCCCCGTCCAAGCCTTCCGAGGCTCCCCGCGCCCCGGGCTCGCCGACGGCGCTCCCCTCCTTAACCCCCGCGCCGGGCCGCTCCGAGCACCACGCGCCCCCCCACGCCCCCAACTCCCCGCCACCCCTGGACCCCGCCTGGGAACAGCCCGACTCGCCGCCCAGCCGCCAGGAGACCCACGCGCCCCCGCAGGCCGCACCCCCGTCGCTGAACGCCGCCCTCATGCAGACCCTCGGGCACCTGGGCGACATCGTGGCCGTCCTGGGCCCCCTGCGCGACCAACTGCTGACCCTGAACCAGCACGTGGAGCAGCTGCGCGGCTCCTTCGACCAGACCGTGTCCCTGGCGGTGGGCTTCATCCTAGGCAGCGCCGCCGCTGAGCGGGGTGTCCTGGGGGACCCGCGCCCCTGAGGCCTGGCCCAGACCCGTCCTGTTGCCCTCCCCCCATACTTCTAGGTACGTTCAATAAAAAAATGTTGCTTTTCCCAACGTAGCCTTGTGAGTGTGTGCAGGTCCCGCCTAGGTAGGAATGGCCCCCTGCAGGCAGGGGAGGTTAAAATGGCCTTGGGGTCCTGGGGAGGGGCAGGAGGAACCGCGGGGCCTGTGCTGGCGGTGGTTGGGCAGGAGTGGTGCGTCGCTAGCCAGGGCCTCACCTGGGGCCAGTCTCCAGAGAGAAGGGCTGTGGAATGAGGTTGGAATCCCTCCAGGTCTCACCAGACTGCCCACCAGGACTTTCCACCAGCGCAAAGCAGCCTTGGGGGTGAGCACTGCCTGCACCGTCCCTGGGAGCCCCACTGAGCAGGAGGAGGGGTACGCAGGGCCCCACCGGTAGGATCCGGGGAATGGCGTGAGCTCGGCCCCAGCCTGTGGGGGGAGGTGGAAGAGGTGCTGGGACACACAGGCAGGAGACCTCTGCTCACCCAAGGAAGGGGCTGGTTTTGTCCCCAGGGTGGTGACTGGCCTGGGTGGGTCCAGGTGGCAGGGGCTGGGGGAATCTGAGACTTGACATTGGCTGAGGCCAGGATCCCTGCAATTTTGAGAGGGTTTTTATCAAAATCACCTAGGATGTATTCCAAAATGGTCATTGAGAATCCTATATTCCGTCAATGAGTCTGGCTGAAAGGAGACTGGGTGGAGCCAGATTCGCGAGCCCCCTGCCCAGGCAGATAGGAAGTAGCCTGAGGCGCCTCACCAGCATAACAATACCGGCGCTGGAGTAGGATGTGGGGTGGGGAGCTTTTCACCATCGAGGGACTCATTCACTGAGACTAAAGCGATTTGCTTGGGGCCAAAAAGCTAGGGACTCCCGCTGGCCTTGCCGGAGGAGGGGGTTCCGACTAGTGGGGTTGCAGCCCCTTTCAGGAGACACTGCCAGACAGGCCACAGTTGGACCCTCAGCCAGCAGGGTGCCCTGGTGAACCAAGCTGAGCAGTGTGTTGATGGCAGGCGCTGGGGGTTCTGTGAGCGACCAGACCCACAGGACTGACTCTGGGTCACCTCGTTTATAAGCTGCCTCAGCTCCAGGATGCCCCTGCTGCGGTCCCCAAGGATGGCCAAGTTGCTTGGAAGCCTGTTGGGTGAAGAGTCTGGCTTGCAAACATTCCCCAACCCCCTCTTGGTGTGGGTCAGGTCTGCAGCCTCCTGGGCGCTATGCTGGAGTAATCTGCATGCTCCTGCCTGGACAGCAGTATGTTCCTCCAACCTGGAGGGGAGAGATGCTGGCTGTTTGTGGTTCCCTTAGGTAGTTTCTCTACCATCTTTACCCTGGTGATGCTCAAATGTCTTTTTTTTTTTTTTTTAAGAGAGAGGAAGGAAGAGGGAGAGAGAGTTAGAAACATCAATGATGAGAATCATCAATTGGCTGCCTCCTGCACATCCCCTACTGGGGATTGAGCCCACAACCCTGGCATGTGCCCTTGACTGGAATCGAACCCGGGACCCTTCAGTCCGCAGGCTGATACTCTATCCACTGAGCCAAACCGGCTAGGGCCCAAGTGTCTTCTTACCAGCCGGGCCTGTGATTCCCTTCGCCCAGGGCTCCTGTGGGTCTGTGAGGTGAGGCAGGTACCCATTTTGCTTTGTGTCTTACGCTGGGCATCCTGGTTGGCTCTGGGAATGTGAGGTGAGGTGGACACACCCCAGTGGGACCAGCATCCCCAGCCCTTGGCACATCTCTCCCTATGCCTGACCCCCGGTGCTGGGCAGTGTCTCCAGCAGCCTCCCAGGGCCGCTCTTCAGATTATTCCCCCTTTTATCTCGCTAAGGGGCTTCCGGTCACACTTTTTCTTTTATTGTAAATACACGTACAAGTCACGTGACCTGTTTTCAAGTGGGCAGTTCAGTGGCAGCAAGGACATGACACTGTTGTGCAGCAACACCATCCATCCCCAGAACGCTTCGTCTTCCCAAACGGAAACCATGTCCCCCTTAGACAGACACTCACTCCCCATCCCCTCTCCCGGCCCCTGGACACCAGCATTCCACTCTGTGAACGCGGCTCCTCGTGGAAGTGGAATCTCACAGTACCTGTCCTTTTGTGACTGGCTTATTGCACTGAGCATGATGTCCTCCAGGTCCATCTACGTGGTGGCCTGTGTCAGAATGTCCTTTCTCTTTAAGGCTGAATAACACTCCAATGTGTGGATGGACCACCTTTTCTTTATCCACGTGTGGACCCTTGGGTTGCTTCTATCTCTTGGCAGTTGTGAATGAGGCTGTGATGGACATGGGCGGCTGTCCCAGTGGGTGCGGTTGGCACCCTTCAGTGACGTGCAGGCACAGCAGCACCACACTTGAGGGGGACGCCCACTGCCCAGTTGCAGGGTGGGCCATCTAGCTAGTGTTTCTAGCAGATGGTGCTGATTCCTAGCGAGCAACCTGCATTCTCTGTGGTGTGCTGAGGCCCTTCAGTGTGCACATCACCTGTGTCCCTCGCCAGGTCGGATGACCTGCAGTGACCACGGGAGGGTACGGCCTCAGGGACCCGGGGCTGGCTTTGCTTTTCCCTGTATCCGTCCTCTTAGTGGCGCCCACTGTGTGTTCAGACTGAGCCAGGCCCACGCCCGGACTCACCTGGATCCTCGTCACCATCCGTCCACCGTGCAGGACTGTGGCAAGGGCGTACGTACTCTCAGAGGCCAGTCTGCTTCTGGGTGGGCAGCCAGTGGGCTTTGCAAACAGAGTCGAAGGTCCTGTGCCGGCAGCTCTGCCTTCCCACTGCCGGGGCCACCCAGGCCGTCAGAGCACCATGTGACTCAGTCTTGGACTCACTCACACATGGACCCGAGCCTGTCCCGCCTCCCCGTCACCACGGAGCTCTTCCCGTGGCTGTTGCTGTCTGCACTAGCTGTCATGTTTGTTGTCACAAGAATCTCGGAGGAGGGGGTCCCTTCCTGAGGACCCCGGGGTCACTGTCCCCACCTTATTTATCCAGACGCAGCACTGCTCCTCCTATTGTCGGAGTCGTCTGGTTCCACGGCTGTTCCCTGTGTGCCGAGAGCAACACGGTGTGGCTGGACTCCTGGGTGGGAAAGTTCTAGAACTGCACTGTCCATGACGACAACCACCAGCCACGTGTCACTGAGCCCTCGAAATGTGGCCGGTGAGACTGACACTAAATGTTTTCACCTAAATTAATTGAAATGCACACCTATGCCTCCGATTCCACAGTCAGTCCTTACATAAAATTCTGTTGTGTTTTAGTGTTACCTGTTCTTGGTTTAAGGTCATACCTTCAGAACGTTGCCTTTAAATTTACATTTAGTTCAATTGCCTTTCACCAAAGTCAAAGACCTAGAGCCTAAGATTCTCTCCACAGCGGTCGGCCACCATTGGACAGGACACTCGCGTCCTCATCCCTCTATCTCTTCACCCTTTTTAAAAAATATATATTTTATTGATTTTTTACAGAGAGGAAGGAGAGGAACAGAGAGTCAGAAACATCGATGAGGGAGAAACACCGATTAGCTGCCTCCTGCACACTCCCTACTGGGGATGTGCCCACAACCAAGGTACATGCTCTTGACCAGAATCGAACCCGGGACCATTCAGTCCCCAGGCCGACGCTTTATCCGCTGAGCCAAACCGATCAGAGCTCTTCACCCTTTTTTAAAAGCCCACATTCCATTATGGTGTCTTTAACCCGCGTCATGCAGGCCACTACCTGGCCCTCAATGACGTGTGTTCACCGTCCACGCTTCTTACATTTACAGCGGGGCATGCCCTCGGGTGCCCACTGTGCTGGCATGATGGGCCTGCGTGGCTCCTGGGTCCCCGACTTCTCACAGCTTCACAGAACCTCTGGGAGGGGGCGGGAGGAGGGGGCAGGTTTGGCCTCCAGAGCCCTGTGATGCCTGTGGGAGCAGTGGGTCCCAGGACTTAAGAGTCCACACTGGTCACTTCCCATCACCCACCTCCCGAGGGCAGGATGGAGGTGGGCAGAGGGAGGCAGGACCCACTCCCCACCTATCCGTGGCAGCGGCAGGGGAAGCTCTGCCTGGAGAGGGGCCCAGCCAAGGACACGGAGACCCAGACAGACAGAAATGAGCCGTCCTCCACCATCAGCCCTTCCAGGTGAGGGGGGAGTGTGGGGGCCTTACTCATCACACCCTCCACCTGGGAATCTGCCACCTCCAACCCATCCACCCACAGGTGCTCTCTTCCCAGATTCTCATCCAGCTGGGGTGCGGTCATGCCCACCTCGCCCCCACCCACCCCTTGGTTCTTTCCACAAACAAGCAATTGGGGGCCATGAGGAAGGGCCCAAGGGGAGTATGAGGGACAAGGGGGCTAGGAGGGTAGGCTGGGGGGCTCAAGGAGGGGCACGGCAGAGTGGAGGGGCAGGAATGCCTGTGAGTGATGGAGTGTGAGGTGGCAGGCCCGTGAATGCATGAGCAAGAACAGGGCAGGGCTGAGGCAGCAGGACCCCGGGCCCAGTGTGGGGTGCAGGGCTGGGGCCATGGGAATGGCTGTGGGGGGCGGGGCTGCCAAGCCTCCGAGTGACAGACGGGGGTCTGAGTGTGGGGAGCGCAGCTACCACTCACCTCCAGGCCCAGTCACCCTTGCAGAGACCGGCAGGAGGCGACTCTGAGTCGTGCAGGCATGGGATTGGGGCCAAAGGTCCAGAGCCGAGGCCACGCCCGCAATCACCAGGTCTCCGAAGAGGGGCAGACACCCCAGGGTGCGGCTCCCGGAACTGGGGGTGGGAGGTGGGGGAGGGGGTCCAGATTGCCCCAAATGCTCCACCAAAGCCAAGTGAGGAAGCTGCCGCCAGGCACGCGTGGCACAGAGTAGCTGGGGTTAGCGGGAGGGACCCCACTGGACAGGAGCCAGCCGGTGGGGGACAGCCTGCCGGAGACCAGGCAGTGCTGCAGGGAACCGCCAGGCAGCAGCCAGGAAGGCGGGGTCTCTGA